GTTAACTGTACATGGTGAAAATACAATGGAAAGTATCATTATTGTACTTTCAACTTTTAAACTGCCAATTATCACTTTAGAGTTTTAAAAGTGCCACTTGCATGGCTGAATATCTCGGTTACATGATCCTTTTCCGTCTGGTCATGACTCCTACCGAAGAGGGAGGCATCTCTTTGTTGTACTGGCCACCATATGAGGTGCAGCTCTGGAGGCGAGGTGAGAATGCCCCACTCAGGAACACTAAATATAATGTCCTGGAAAGAACGGAAGAATTCAGCCCTTCCTAAAACATTCCTTTAAGCTTGGCATGGTGGCACATACCTGTAATCCTAACACACTGAGAGGCTGAGGCAGGAGGGTCCCAAGTTGAAGCCCTCCCTAGGAACTTAGTGAAGTCTTTTTCAAAATAAAAGGAATAAAAGGGCTAGTGATGTAGCTCAGTGTGAAGGCCTTGGGTTCAGTCTCCAGTATGGCCAAAAAAAAAAAAAAAATTCCTTTAAGATAAAGTTGTTGGCAGTTTGTGTCCTCATTCCTCAGAAATATGGACCTTGAGACCTTTGTTGGAGGTTCTAGCAGGGGAGCGCAGCCACTCCGATACCCTGGACCAAAGAACGGTCCTCCTCTATTGGGGGTGGTCGTCCTCTTCGACCTAGCGCACAACTTCGGGAGTGGCACACATGGAGCGCTGAGGGAGGAAAGGGACCCCTGCCCAGCCGACCAGATCAGCTGAATTGATGCTGGTGATCCATGGGATGACAGATGTGGCAGTCAGATCACCCTCACACCCAGAAATATGGAAAATAGGATCCTAGACAAATGCTGAGTTTGGAAAATCAAGTTTATCTCTTATTGTTTGAGTTAGATGGAGGAATGGTGGTAGGTAAAGAACCCACCCTGGGAACAATGCTTCATTTCATTTTCTGGAACATTGTTTCTTAACTTCTCTGGAGATGCTGAAAACTGTGCCCCTTTTCCACAGAAATATGCATAGATGCGGTAGAGTCTGGTAACTCTCAAGAGTCCCATTTCTGATTATTCTTTGCTTAAAATCAGAACCTTTTGCATTTAGAAATATTCCGGTTCCAAAAATCATATGATTCTGTCTTATCCCCCAAGGGGAACATTAGAGTTTTGTAGTAGGAAGGCTCTTTGTGAGAATGCGGGGTCCCACCTCCAAAATGATTTCTGTTTCCTGTGATTGAGATTGCCTGTTTGTTAATTTATTTTCCACTTGGACCGAGTGCTGGCTCTTGAGTATTTTTTTTTTCATTATTTCCCGCCTTCTTATGAAAACAGCGTTCTCGTTAAAGGAAACAACTCTGAAAAAATTCTGGTTGAAGATTTGTTTGATTTTGTACTTGAGATAAGAAGGTAATATATTCCATGAGAAGATCTGGGTTCATCCGTCAGAGCAGGACAGGTTGCTACAGACTGACTGTGTAAGTTTGAAATCACACTATTTATTTTCTCCTGAAAAAGTATATATTAACTTTTCAAAATGTCTGCCAACAAATTTTGGTAGGAGGAACCTTAATTTACAGAACCAGAAAACATTTTAGGAAAAACCTAAGCGTCACAGGCAGGGAGATCTTAGAGATGTCTCTGAGCAAGCACAAAATTTTTGTCATGGGCAAGTTAAGATCTCATGGCCACAGAAGCATATTAAGCCTCATAATTCCCTGACATTTACCTCATGTATGTGTTCTCTTAAAACAAGATCTACTTATGATGAAAAATTTAAAATAAATGTCCAGAATATAATAATGAGCATGGATTATTTCATATTCCAAATATGATTAAGGATGTATTAATATTTTGCAACATGTGAGATCTACTTAGGCCTGGCAAATTTTAGACACAGGAAAATACCCAAGTGTGCTGTGGGGAGCTAGTGTCATCAATATGCCCCTATGAGCGGAACAGCTCTGCTTTGGTGCTTAGTAAGATATTTGTGTGCCTGAGACATTGATGAAGCTAAGCTAGACTGAAGTGAACTCGGGAGCCTGAAGTTAGGTCTCATCTCAGGTAAAGCAAGCTGTGGTCACGGAAGTAAAATACAGTACAAATGATATCCTGTGGCTTTGCTTAATTCCAGGAAAATAAAAAAAGATTCTTAAAGTATTTTTTAAGGTTCTTTTTTCATTTCTCAGCAAACAGAGCTCTTTTCAGTTTGAAAAATTCCCCATTTTAAGAGATTTCATGGGAACTGGAGAACATGTCTTAATGTGGAAGTGAGGGCAGCAGATGTGGCCTCGGTCGGGCTCCCGCGGAGTCAGGGGCCAGCACACAACTCGGCTTTGCTGGTTTAGATTCTGTATTCGTGACACAGAAGCAGGGATGTGAAGGCTCAGGTGTGGCAGTGGTGGGAGATTAGTCACCCTGTCCAGCCACTGGCAGTAGGGATGCTAATAGTGCAAGCGCCTGGTACATGGCCAAGTCCATGCCCCAGAGCAGGGGCGTTCTGAGGGGCGGCTAAGGACAGTGTCCCTCTTCTACAGTGACAAGCTTGGTTCTTAGCTTTCTGGAGAGTAACCTTTCAAGAATTCTTTCTTCTGGCCAAATTGGTTGTTTGTCCTGCTACTAAGAATACCAACAGATGTAATTCATACTCAATTATGCTCCTTGTATTGCTATATAGCCTGATGGAAATAGAGGCTCTGCTGAGAAGCCATAGAGCCGTGCTTTTTCAATACTCAATGTTATCATAAAACTGTCCACAATGCAGAGAAGACACGGAACATTTCCAAGTGGACTGTGGTGCTTAGGATATCCTATCTCTGACCTAACCAAATTTTGACATTTTTTTTAACTTATGCCATGTGCAAATATCATATTTCTACTTTAAAAATTATCAAACAAGGCCAAAAAGTGACACTCACTTGAAAGAAAAAGATAACACACCTGCCAATTGGCTAAAGCTAGGAACCAGTTAAGGATAAGACCAAAAAGTACTCCAAGGTTTTTCCAAATCTGAGGCCATTTTAGATGTCCTCATTCCCAGGCTTGCTCCTGATCCATTCAGTTAGAATCCTCATGTCTGGGCCTAGGCATAGGATCCCTAGATGGCGATTCTGTGAAGCCAGGATTGTGAGCCATTCTCAACAGAACCCTTGCCCTCCAAGCTCTGGGTGTGGTTTCAATATCATGTGTACAGAGAGGGACTATCGACTTCTCTGTAACGTATATTCCCTGAAATGGCACTGACCTTTTTGACTCCTGTATCATGTTGCCCTGGTATCACATTCGGTGAAATTGGGCACTATTCCTGACATGTCTCTTTTTACCTTTACTGCTTTCTAGGTTTCTCCGGCTTGATGCATGGTTTGCTGCGGATGCTTATCTGCATATCATAAAATTCAATTCATTTTTCAAACTGTATTTCTTGGGATCAGCTTTCCATATACATTTGTCTGTCCTTCCATATCAAATCTTTGTCTTTATGCAGTTTAAATAATTGCATTTTATATGTGTGTGTAAAATGAGAGACTATATTACTGTGTTTAATTTGTGACATCAATTCATTCTGTGGGCTAATCGGGTAGTCTTTAAATAAAATGTGTCAGCCTACCTTTTACAGTGATTTGCAATGATTGGCTTTAGTTGGTTTTCTACTTCAGAGTTTGGGTTTGGATTAAAAATTAAATATGCTTGAACTCTTCTCATTACACCATGTTGCGCACATCCAATTAAATTTTTACTAATTAGATTTCCACCATCATTTATGTTTAAATGTTTTGTGTTCAGGCAAAGTCATTGCTAACTTCCAACTAGTCATATTGCCAATTATCTTATAATCAGGTTTTAAGAATTTCACTGTGGAGTTCTTTCAAATAAGGTGGGTATGTGTGTGCATTTGCACATATATATACATACAGTGTATTTAAGTTTTAGATGATAGCTTCTCTTCACAGTAACTAGAGTGTCACTTGAAGTTGGAGATATATTATACGACCTACCATTCAGTTAGAAATATTAGAAGGATAATGTAATGTATTTCAAGCCTCAAGTGATGAAAAATCAAAATCTATTCACCATTACCATTTAACAAAAATCATAAATTCTGATTCAAATGATTCATTTTCCTTATATACACAAAGCACTCTAACCTCAAGAGAATATTTATTCTTAACTTGTAGCGAAGTTTCACAAAATCTATGTAAAATTCATATTATTAGAGGTATGAAAAATTGAAAGAGCCAGATTCTCTCCTCACGATGATGTACTTCTTTGTGAAAGGGTTTTTCCTACTTTCTGGTTGAATGTTTGTTCTACTGAAACAACAGAGTTGAATCATGGTACAACGCATTTGATAATAACTGAAGTGTGGGAAATGAAAATAGTTTATATTTTTCAGGAAAAAATAGGATATAAAAGAACAGTTGATATTAGTGTATCTTTTTTGACAGAAACAAAAGCTTAAAGAGTTGAGCCTTAGCTTACAAAATTTAGGCTTATTTTAGTGAAAGTTTAAAATGAAGTTCTATATAAATTATTCTTTAATATGCAACAAACATGCTGCACACGCAGTCAGTTTTCAGTTTCACCATTTTGTAGTTCTTGGTAATTTCCTTTTGATCTTGCAACATTTTTCTTTCCTTCACGATTATTTCTTTCTGACTACACGTTGTCTCATTTGTCACTACTGACTTCCACTTATCAGAAGCCAACATTTAGCGTTCTTCAGTCATGAGCCAGGGGCTGGGATTGCATGTGCTCTAAGAGCAAACATGTCTCTGAGTTTGTTTCTTTCTCAGGCTCCAGTCGATAAGATTAGGATGATGCTATTTTAGACTCAGAACTCAAGTAAATGGTTACTGTTTAGAAAGACTTTGAAGTGTTGCATTTGCTGTGGCAATTATCATAGCAGAAGGTCTATTTAGAATTTGGGGTTATTTCAGTTTTTTTCCACTACTCCCATCAGAGAGTGTATTGATATATGTGTGCAGATTCCTGGGTTTATCATCACCTCCATATTGTCTATTAACAGGCTTAGAGAAAAATGTTCATCTGGCTAAAGGCGACTCTATCAGGAGCTGGAGTCTACAGCTCAATTTTATGGTGGAGCAGCTGGGCTGCCTTGGTGTGACCTGAGTGAAGCAGCTCTTTTACTGCTTGATTAAAAGGTACATCTTTGATTTTCCATGCCAAGTCTAATAGGATTATGGATGAAATTTTATTATTCTGGTCACAGGATTTTTATTTAAATTGGAATATATTTTAAAAATACCACTAAGTATTTTTTGATATTCACACACTTTTACCAGCAATTTTCTGCAGGTTGTTGATTAGAATTTCCTTGGTTATAATTATATCAGATGAAATATTTGACATACTAAAATTTCATCAATTCTTTTATAAGCATCCTGACTGTGTATTATATATGAATTAAAACTTCTTGGGAAGTTTTATGAAAATGCAGGGGAAATTGGTGATGCCAAGTGGTATTTAATAAAATCTACAACTCTATTAGAATATTTAAAAATCATTTACCTTCATTTCCACAGTGTTGGTGTATATAGTCAGAATACAATCTAAGTATGGAAAATTGTCTAATTTATCTTGGAAATAAAGAAACTGAAGACATTTTCCTATAGAGCAATTAGTTCTTGAAACAGAAGCATGTGTCAGTTGAAGTACATATGTGGTACAACCTCCTCTTCTGCGGAACAGAGGTTATCGCTGAGCTGTTTCAGCCCAACATGAAATGGGATGTCCATGGCAATTCAAGGCCAGCGGTCCATGTGATTCTATAATTACTTTTGCCACTTTGCTTTTGTAGAGCCATTCATTATGAGACTGGCCTTATCTTGTCATACCTCCATGTCATTAACAATGTTTTAGTGCATTAGTGACCAGAGGCAGGTCTAACGGTCAGTGATTACAGACGGCCAGCTGCCAGCAGAGTCAGTAGGGTTGGAAATTCCACAATTGTTTAGTGAATTTCTGTTGCCTTGGAACAATAATACTGGAATCATGGAAAATAGACTTTTCTGTGAGAGGAGACACGAAAATAAAAGTGCTCAGACAGGAAAATGAAGCCAAATGGATGGTTAAGTTGTATAAATCCTTGAAACTTTCCAAGTTAAAATAAATGGAGAACTTAAACCTGATTTATTAAAAAATTACGAATCAAAAGTCTCATCTTTCACGGGGGAAAAGGAAGAAAAAAGAAGCTGAACCCAAATCAGCTCTGTTATGGGATGGTTTGATTTAAAACGTCTCCCATTCCGAGTTCAACCATTTGGGGTTTGTGGTATGAACTCAGTGTTTTATCCACTGAGCACTGTTCTTCAGTCCATTCATCCTTCCCTTCCCCAATTCCCAAGCTCTCGTCACAGAGCATGTATTTTTCAGCTGGCCTAACTTTCCCTGATGAGGGTGACATGTTCTGCTGGGAAAAGAGAGATTTAAGAGATGATTGTTTTCTCTTACAGAATAAAGGAAATTTAATTTCCTTTTAAAATATATTTTTTCTTGATAACAATTTTATTTTTAATCACAGATAAAGTATATAATTTATTTGATAATGGTTTTAATTTTGGAAGATTCCTCAACTGAATTAGGCACATTCAGCTTTGCTTTTCGTACTGTAAGTTGTTCTTGCATTGTAGATTAGATTGAAAAATACATAACTAGTCTCATGACAGCATATATTCAAACCCTTAAGAATTTAAGAAATTGGGAGCCCTTTAGGTTTTAAAAGAAATTATAGGAGAACCAAAATTTAGTAACCAAAATTTAAACTGAATGATAGGTTAAAGAAAATAAACTAAAGCTTTGTATGGCAACATTAACAAGATGCCAAAATTGCTTGAATATAAAATTTGGAGTGTTAGATATGGAAACGTGAATTTTACCAACCAGCTTAAACAAGATAATAAAGTTAAACACTGCAATGAATGCCTACTCTTTGGTGGTTTTTTTCCACCCTACACTGACATCTATGAAATCAAATGTTTTCAGGTCAGTGGTAAAAAATGGAAGCATTAAATTGGAGGGAAAGAATTGAGTTAGTTCAAATTGAGTCTTGATTAACTTGAAAAGATGTTAACCCTTATAATCTATCCCCGACTGAGGACTGCATGTCTTACAGCATGACTGGGGATTTGCAAAGCGTTTTAAATTGATGAAGGCATTCCATTCTGTTTAGACCTATATATCCGACCTCAATAAAGTTGGTTCAGAATTAGATTTTATGAACTCCTTTTTTCTTCGTAGAAGAAATAAAACACTTAAATCTTACACGAAAGAGCTATAATCAAATAAGAAACAGTATCTAAATCTTTTGGGTAGAAATAAGTGGTTAGGTTTTGTGTTTCTTTGTTAGGTCCCACAAATAACCATGAGACTTACATAAGAATTTTGACTCTAATATAATCCAAAAGGAAAAAGAATTGGTTCAAATTAGTATCTTGCTGAAAGCAAGTTGCCCTAGATAAAGGTCAAAATCTTGGAGATTTTTATGACCGTAAAAACTCTTAATGCACAATCTTGTATTGCATTAAAGTAAATGTGTGAAATTTTACTCATCTTTTACATTGGTGAATTTACTGAAAGGTTTATCATTAAGTGTAATAAATGTAAAAATATTACATCATTTTTCATAGAAGACATCTCAGAGAAAGTTGAGTCCAAATAGTGTAACAATAAATTAAAATGAACAAAAAGTATGAAATAAATCATATATATATATAAATATATATATATATTCTAGTTTGAGACTGATGTGCAAAAAGAAAATTGTAGAGACAGGGCAAGTGGACCATGTAAATCATTTTTAAAGAATCAGGTTCACAGCTGGCTGTCTGGAATTGAGCCATACTTTATTATCTGAAAATGTTCTTTTCTTCTTTCATCAAATTTTGCAAATATATTACAACATTTCATCTGTCAGTCTTAATACTGCACGGTCATCTGAGCCTCAAAATTACCCATATTCTGTATTATAAGTAATATCATATGAGTGAGCAAAATTTTCTGCCAACAGGCCCCAATCCATGTATAAAATCATAGAGCAGCCCATTAATAAATAGTGGTTGATCCAAAGGAAAGGTCATGTGTATTAAGGAAAACTACTTACACAGGAGATGAAGTGCTATATGTTTTGGATTTTTTGTGTCACCTCATAATGTGCATGCTTATGTTTAATCAGTAAATAAAATATTACTTAGAATTATCTAGCTAGTTGTGTATAATTGAAAAATGCATAGGTCCTCCTTTCCAGACTAGAGAATAATGGTGATTTTGTTGGCTGTCACTGTTCTTTCAAATGGCTTATTTAAAATCAGGTATGGGTTTGCCTTTATGGAACTGTAATTATCTTTATAACTTGGACAGAATAAAAAAGACAGCTGTCAAGACTAACTAGATTAGCCAAACTTTTAGAATACCCACAAAATAATAACATACAATGAATTAAACTGACTTAAAGGAAATAAAATATTAATAAGGGTAAACATTTTTCAACTAATAGTATCAAATGCATATAATGAGAAAATTGGGTGGAGATTTTTGTTTCCACTTTTTAAAAACTGTTATGAGATATCCGCTCATCTATTCCAAGATAATGGAAAAAAGAACAGATACAGAAACTTAATAAGTGTACTACATTGAATTGAAATCATAACCCAGGTATATAGATTTGTTTAAAATATTTAAGCAAGGTCCAGAGTGCATGGGTCTCACCCTGAAGACTCTGGCTTCTCTCCTTAGAACTCCCACTTCCAAAGTCTCAGGAGCAGCAAGAACATTGAATTTATAACATTCCAGAACTATAACCAAATATTTCTTTTCAACTTTGAGAAGTTTAATCAAATCAGACCAAATTCAACAAGTATGATTACCAGTATCAACGTTCCAACACTGCAATGAACCCAATGGAAGAGAGTTTTCAGTGCTTCATTATAAGGAAGTTATAGAGAAATAGTCAATGCACCTATTAATTGAGGCTGATATTCAAATATGTTTTTGCTTTGGAAAATAAGTATGCTCTATACTCGCAGTTTTCAAACCTTGGCATGTGTCAGAATCACCTGGAGACCTTGTGAATATATAAGACCCATACCTGGCATTTCTTGTCAGAGGTCTAGCGTGGGACTAAGAATTCCATTCTTAACAAACTTCCAACTGTTCCTGATGTTTCTTTTCTGGGGAACACTGCTTTATTCTAATTTTTTATTTTTGTTTTTGTTTTTGTTTTTTTGTTTTTTCTCCGGTACCGGGAACCAAACTCACGACCTTGTGCTTGCCAGGCAGGCGCTTTTGCCGCTGAGCTAAATCCCCAGCCCCTTATTCTAATTTTTAAAGAAGATTTTTTAGTTATTTAGAAAAATCAAACTAACTTTCTTTGAATTTCTCTCCTCTGTTCCCAAGTCAAGGGTAGAGACAAATTTTTAGGATTTAAACTGGTAGAAGAGATAGATTGATATAATCAGCCTTCACTTACAGAAATAGAGTATGTCTTTCCTAATTTATGGGAAGATGATTTCCTATAGGAGGGAATATTTTAAAATATCAAACAATTTGTAATGATTCAGCAGAGGCATGTGCTCAGTCAGTGCCTCTTGAGCTAAATATTTTGTTAAGTATTGCTCAAGTAATCCTTTTGATTGGAGCTAAAGTGTTTGTGACTCACGAGGAAGAAGTGATGTGGTTAGTACACGGGAAAGCTGGGGCATCTCTCCCATTTCTAGTATTGTTTCTATGTCCGTATTTTTCCCTGGCAAATTAGAGAAATTTATCTTGAGATATCAGTTAAAACCAATGTAGAAGACCCTGTATTGAAGGTATGTTTCTGCCCATGCTGACTTCTAACTCTCTTTACTGGGCGATAGGGTCCAAAGTAGTAGATCTTTCTTTACTGGGCTATGGCTGGCACTGTGTGTGTGTATAAGTGTGCGTGTGTGTGTGTGTGTGTGTGTGTGTGTGTGTGCCATATAAGGCATCGAGTGTTTATTTAAAAAACTAAAATGCAATCAAGCTTTTTGGTGTTATCTCAGCTATGGACTAGCGTTATTGATTTCACTGGGACCCATGAAACAAGATCAATCACATGAATGAGGGAGAAGGAGAAGAGGGCATTGCATGGTGCAGAGCGTGCGTGGATCTGGTGGGGGAGACCCCG